TAAGAACGTAGTAATAGTGGAGAAACAATGTGCATCACCTTAGCAGGGATTGGTCTTTTGGCAACAAAGAATATCAACCAAATGGTCCCGTTTGCTCTGAGCAATGAGATCAGTGCTCGATCCAACTTTTCCAGCCGCAAGAAAGATGTAGTTCTTGAGAAAATTCGATGCAAGCCTCTGCAATAGAGTGAAATCGTACAATTTACTTCACACGTGCTTTTTCTGCTGATAACCGTCAGTCCCAAAGGAAAAAAAAATGGAAAAAAAATGCATAAAATGCTAACACTGAGAAAGAAGTACATATTGAATGACAAATGACAGGGAATAAAAAATAAACAAATAAATAAAGAACCGTATTTCATCTGGAAATGTGGCACTGAAAAGCATCATCTTTCTCGAGCCCGGCGGGAGCATCTCCATTTGCTGAACAATCTTGCAGACATGGGACTCGAAGCCCATGTCGAGCATCCGGTCAGCCTCGTCCAGTGCCAAGTACTTAATGTTTCTAAGGGATACTCTTCCTCTTTCTATCAGATCCACTAAGCGGCCTGGTGTGGCAACCAAGATTTCAACTCCCATTTCGAGTTTTTGTAGCTACAGAGGCAAAATATAAAATTTTGAGAATAGTTTTTAGTGAAAGGTAAGAGATAATGTATCACTGAAATCAGTACCTTAATAATTCATATTATACTTATCTTTTCATCATATAAATATGTACAAGGTAATACCACATTTTCTTTTAAGTTCCAGTTGCATGTACAAAATGCTAATTAGGGCAGACTTGGACAATATTTAACTTATTTTATACAATAAGAATGTTCAGTGATGTTTACAATAACCATCATACATGATAATTGTGTTTTGAATAAATCATAACCTAGAGTCAGGTAAAGAGTTTTTCGACTAGCAAATGGATAGAGCAATGGAAAATTTTCATTTACTTGTAGTTTCAAATAGTACATTTAACTCACTCTAATGTCCAATAACACTCTCAAAATCCATCTCATTTTTGTTAATGAGTCTTCTAACATTAATAACCACCAAGAAGGGGAAAAAAAAAGAGCAAAGAAAAGGCCAACTGATAATTCGCTGAGAAGACGCAGATTCTTAATGAAAAGAACTACAATAGTATGTTGTGATTATAATAAACACAATGGCCAGAGACATAGGATATTAAAAAACAACGATATTATAAATTTTTATGTACATTTTCAAAAGAAACATAAGACCAACAAATTATATGATGAATCTTAAGTTCTAAAAGGAAATCTACAAGCAACAACTTTATGTTGTTTCAGCTATAATTACACAATAATTGTATTTTCATTGGCACGTTCAAAGATAACATGTGTTTTACCAGAAGAAAAAGTAGGAACTAACAAATTCACAGGATATAAAACAATCATATGCACATGTATATTTCAATATTATCAAAATGGCCAATATCACCACTTTCAAACCTGTTGGAACATAGGAGCCCCACCATAAACAGCCACAACTCTGACTCCAGTTTGATATGAGAACTTGGTGGCCTCATCGTGTATCTATAAATGAAGCAACAACAACAATAATCATCAAGGCTAGACGTGAACTGAACACCAAACTTAAATTTATAAGGATGTCCATGCAAGTAAACATTATTTCTAAAATTTCTCTCAATTGATTGACATCTGTTTTGTTTCTTCTTTTTCTCCTTTTTTTTCAGTTTAATGTGATCAAATAACAATGTATCACCAAAACAGTAAGTCATATACTGAAAGCTCATCAAAGACTATTCGAAAAAACATTATTAGTATATGCACTCGCGCTCGAGATCCGGGTCGGACCCTTTCAAAGAACTGCTGACCAAGAAATTGACCCGTTGAAAATGAGAGATGAACACAGAAAGCTCATAGAAAATACAGCTTTTAAAAATAGAAGATGAACCAGAGTAAAAACTCAAAACACCAACCTTTTACTGAAAAAAAAAACGAATATACACACACACACACACATTTATTAAGCACCAGCACCTGACAAGCGAGCTCTCGGGTCGGAGCAAGTATCACGGACAAAGGGGAAGCCAAATGGGCAGGGCCCACTCGACCACCGTTGAGGGTCTTGCCGCGCTCTTTATCCAGCATAACGCCATTTATAATGGGGAAGCAAAACGCAGTCGGGTTCCCGGAGCCCGTATGGGCGCACGCCATCAGATCCCTCCTGCCATCGCACCCGGGAACGCGTACCTCTGTATGGGGGTGGGGCTCACGTACCTACACCTCCTTATGTTGTCAATTAGAGCCTTTGCGGGGAAGCCCATCTCCAGAAATGACGCCGCCGGCTCCACCGGAGTGTCATCGTGAGCGGAGGCGTTCGTCTCAACATCTCGTTCTGAAAGAGGGGAAGAATAAAGCGTGTCAGAAACTATAGTTTTTTAAGCTCTCACTTTCTCTCAACCTCTCGCTTTAGAGAGCGGAAGGAAAGGCCTCGGGGATTGGGACACAGGAAAAAAGCAACTGATAAATAGATGGCTTCGAATAAATCAAAAAACTGTGATGAATCGACGGCTGAGATTTGACTAATCGAACCGATACAAACACGTGAAGATGTTGCAGGTCCGGATCCATGACGTGGCTTGGAATTTATTTCATTTATTTGGGCCGAATATATATTTCTTTGCCCAATTTTCTGTTTCTTGTTTGATTAGTTGTAGTATAATGTCAATTGGGCTTATAATTAAAAATAATAATAATAATAATAATAATTATGAGTGAACCACCAAGAGTTTCAGAACAAATAGGAACACTTATAAAAATAATTAAGAAAACTCAATTAGAAACATTAGAAATATAGATGAAATAAAAGAATCAATAAAAGAATTACAAAATTCGGTACAAAAAGAAAAAACACGGAAAAAATTATTTAAACCAATTCAAATAGAAACGCCTACAAGTTCTAATGGATGATATAGATAGATTAACACAATTATTAGAAAAATGTAATATTGAAGAAACTAGAATGGCAAAAATAGATGATAAAGATAAACAATGAATAATCTACGGAATAGATAGTGAGGATGAAGATGAACCAACATTTAATATGACTGATCAAAAACCTAATACAACACCTCCATTATCACCAAAGCGACCTAGAACAAACAATAATGAAGCATCTAGTTCACAAAATAATTATGTAGAAAGCAGTTTTAGAGATTTTATATACAGAAATGATTATAGTTATCATCAAGAAAAAATAAAGAAAATATACCATCAGCATACTTAGAAAAAGAAAAAAAAAATATCCAATGGGATATTAAATATTGATTGTGATATGGGATATTATATACTAGACCGATTCGCTGGGCTAACCGGAGAAAATAGGCCGGTTTGTCGGATTACCTAAATAAGAACAGGTCGAATGATATGGTCGAGCAGGACCAGACACCTGCAACGGAGGATAGAGAGCAGACAGCAGAGACTAATGAGATCAGAAGTGGTCGACAAATGCGAGTTACTCGAGGAGTTGGTCGAGGGAGGATGGTCGGATAGGGCGTGGTCGTATAGAATTGGTCGAATAACAGAGCGCACAAGGGAATCTTCAGCACGTGAAAGGGAGGACACGCGGCGTGCTATGAGTGGTCAATAGCTATAACGAACTCTGACATTCTCTGACAAATGGGACGCGTTTCCTGACACCAAAGATAGTGGAGGCGCGCGGCTGTACGGACGAGCAGAGGATAGTTGGCCGAACTCGCCCTACTCGCGCGTGTAGAACAGGTAGCTCGCCCTTATAAATAGGGGCGAGAATCCTCACTTTGAACACAATCTCTCATACTCTTACATTTTTCCGCACACTTATATTA